CGGCCCTGAGCACACCGCGCGGTGTCCCCCCGACACGGCTGCCGTCCCCGGTGCCACCACGGGTGTCCCCGGGCCGTGACACTGTCCCCAGTGCCACCTCTCGTGTCCCCAGCCACCACTCGTGTCCCGGTGCTCCAACCTCCTCTCCTGCCCCTGCATCTCACCTTCCAGCATCCTTGCAGGACACCTGCATCTGTCCTCGCAGGACATCGCATCTGTCCGGAAGCGCCACCTCTTCATGTCCCCAAATGTCCTTCTGCTCTCATCTTCCGGCATGGTCCAATGGTGAACTCACAGGCCACACTTGTTTGTCCCCACGGACGCTCTCTTGTGTCTTTTGAGGTCCCTTGTCTGTGTTCTCCCTGCTCACCCACTCCTGTCCCCAAGTGCCACCTGCTTGTGTCCCTCTAGGCCGCCCTATGTCACCAAAGGCACCTCATCCAGCCCCTGACCACAGAACACGTTGTCGCAGCGCCGAGTCTGACACCATTGTGAGGTGGGCGGGTGACAGCCGGTGTCACCACCAGCCGCCCTGCCCATGGAGGCTCCCCTAGAGGGAGGCAGGGCCTCCATCCCCACACAAGGACACCAGGGGGCACGGCCATCTCCAGAGCACACCATGTCCTGCAGCTGCTCCACACCAAGCGGTGACATGCAGAGGTTTCAAGCCAGGACAGTGCTAAGAGGCCAGGTGCCTCCTCAGCATCTGTGTGACACACACACAGGGTCACAATGGCCAAGGGACAGTGCCTCTGTGCCACGCACAGCCCGTGGCTCCGCACGAGCCCTCTCAGGACACTGGAAACCAGTTCATCCGACGGGGAGCAGCTTCAACATCGGTGTTCCCGAGCCGGTCATTTTACATGTGTTCTAGAGACCATTTTAAACGTGCCCAGAGTCTAAATGCCTACTTGTAAAAAGGATTCTATAAAGTGCCATTAATTCTAGCTATCAGCAAACTCCACACTCAGCTTTAAATGAAACATTACAGGAGCCTAGAATGAATATCAGCTGTTTTGGAGAGACACAACTGCCTCCTGTTCTATAGTAGAGCTGTCTGTGGGGTGAGATGGATTGCTGGGTGAGGAGAAACTTTCTTCTCTTTCTGAACAGGGATTTTTGCTGGAGTAAGGAAAGCAGTATCATCCCCAAAGGAACATCCAAGGCCTTCACAGCCTGCCTTCCTCCTACACCTGCTGCGAGCCAACACCTGCCAGAGAGCTTRCTCAATCCTTACAGAAACACACAAACTAGCTCAGTTTCAATGCCAACTTGCAGCTTAGTGTGGTTGGGAACCAGTTCAAGACACTAGCTGCTCTGATAGTTCTTTGTTAATCTTAATCATCGTCCTGTGCCCAGGAAGGATCAAAGCAATGACCACAGATAACACTGCCCAGTGTTATCTTCTCCTCTCACATTGAATTAATAAAGGTCAGGTCCCTCAAGAAGCTGTGTTTCCTCATGCTCAGATGGACATTGGTCACTGTGAGTCATCACCCATGCTCATGGAGCTCTCTGATTCTCATACTTAGGCCTAGACCTTCCACAGTCTTCATTTGCTTGCTAGATATCCCTGAGCCACAGCATTTCCTCCCATCCATGTGGCTGGCAACCTCTCTTGGGACACTTACCTCCTGCCTCCATGGCTATCCAACCCCCAGGACTACTGCCCCATCTGTAACCTCCAGAAAACATGGCTCCAGAAAACATGCAAAACATACCGGTTTTTGACCCATGCTCACTTTGCCTCCTTCTTTGCCCCCACTTGGTTAATTCCCATCTCCATGTGTAAAACATTTCCAGCCAGTTCCTTTGCATTCCCCATGATGCTCCACCTGTGTGTAGAGAGGAAACTAAGGTTTCCCGGTTCACGGAAAACAGGACTGTGAGGGATATGAGAGGTCACCTCATTCATCCTCTGCCAGCAGATAGGAGCAGTTCCAACTCATCATCACCTGACTGTCCTTTTTCAAACTAACCACAGAACGGTTGAGGTTGGAAGGGACCTCTAGAGATCATCTAGTCCAACCCCCTGTTCCAGTAACGACACCCAGAGTGCGTGGCACAGGGTGCCATCCAGGTGGGTTTGGGTGGTCTCCAGAGAAGGAGACTCCACAACCTCTCTGGGCAGCCTGTTCCAGGACTCCTCAGGCCTTTCCCTGCCTGTGTGCCTAAAAATATTTGACAAAGAAGCAGGATGCAGAAATCACTGGCTGCTCTTCTACCCAATACAATTTTCTTCAACTTTCCTGGCTACCTGGCCATACATGCTCCATGCCCCTATCTTATATGTGGGTTGCCAGGCTGAAATTATCTTTTTGCTGTGCATGGATGCAGCCTCAAACTTTGGAGGCCTTAATCACATTAAGAGGCCTGAATCATGTTAAGAACTATAAAAATACCAACAGTAAACCATTTAATAATAGAAAGAGTTCCTCTAAGTTCTCTTAGATTTGGCATCTCTCAGCCTCCCACCCACATACGGAAGGATAACATGAAGTTTTACCTCTAAGCTTAGCTGTATTGCTCTGATTTGTCAAGCYTTAGGTGACTAATATATAGTTTTCCCATGAAAGCCAGAGAGCTAATGCAGGACCTTTCCAGTGTGGACTTCCTTGAGCAATTTGCAGCTGCCCTCTGCCAGCCCCTCCTACTCTGGGGTGGAAGCTGGCAGCGACATGCTTGAAATCACGCTGCAATCCAAAATGTTGAAATTTAGCACTCGCAGCCCGTCTGTGACTGCTGCTATGAGGCTGATGGAGAGGAGGCCTTTCCATTGCCGACCTCCGACCTTCATTTGCTAGTGAAAATTATAAGTTTTCTCAGCCTTGACACATGAATGTGCCCCCACACATCTGTTTGTGCAAAGGTGAAGGAAGGCAGACGTGTGCAAGTCTCTTCTGCATCAGCCAGGCTTGTTCTGCAGGTCCATCAGGCAACGCAGTAGTCAGGAGATTTTGTCCTTCCCATTCCCTGGAGCTAGGAGCCCTTTCCTCAGCTATGCTAGAGACCATGGCCTGGCTTCTGCTCACCTTCGTATCCTAGATGACACCTCTACAAGGTGTCCTACAAAGACTGTGTAACCATAATGTAATTAGYTTCAGTGACTACTTTTTCAGAAAGCTCCTTTTGTCCAGCATGGCTGTCACATGCCACAAATGGAACCCTAACCGGTTTGGGGACAACCACGTTTTATAAAYATTGACACTGAGCCTGTATTACTCAAGTATATGTGTCTCAAGGCCATTGAAAACAGCACCTATGGATGAATCYAGCTCACTCCAGGTTTGTGGAAGATGAACACATGTGATGGACAAATATCCTGTGGCCTCCACAGTGCCCAGTCCYTCCCAGTCAATGTGTGTGGCCTCTGTTTTGTACTCACAAGGAACAGATACTCCAGCAAACCCTCAGGAGAAGCTGCAGTGACAGGAYCTGCAAAGAGCTCACCACAGTGCTYGATACCTCAGTGCTGTGAGGAAAGCATGGGTAGATGCATCTCCTTGGGCCTTTGCTGCTCCAGTGGCGTGTGGAGGCTACAAAAACCCTGGGAGGAATTCCTGCCTACCCAAATGGCAGAGCATAGCTAGCTCATGGCTAAGAACAGCCAAGGTGGAAAACTACTATAGGGCCCTGGGCCACAAATCCCAGAAATATGGCCATGTAGATGGGAGGAAGAGGACAAAATCATCTATAGCTGCTGATGAGAGTAGCCCTGTGAGCCTCACCAGCCTCACTACCACATTGCCTTAGGACCAACAAAATCAGCCTGAGTGCCAGCRAGAGCATTTCAGGAGCAGGTCTAGTTCCTTAAGCGCTTGTGCTGCTCTAGAGAATAAATCCCACAGCGCCGGTGTGACCATGCCAGGGAAGGGACCATACCAGAACCTGTTTTAGCCAGAGATGGAGTATCAAGGCACTGCCCACTGCAGTTCAGCCCGGACAAGGACGAAGGCTCCCGTGGACCATCTCWCATCTCCCTTCCAAAGGTCCACAGAGCCCAGCGCTTTCTAAAGCAGTGGGATTTTACAGGGATTTTTGTTGCTTGTGAGCACAAAGCATTTTAAAGGCAACTGCTTCCATTCTGTTTAGCTGCTTACGCTGAACACAACTTTTAAATGTCGTACAATACACACGAAAAGTAGTCTTGTGTCACTGTTTTCTGTTTAACAAGTTAATAATGTGCCAGCCAAATCCTTTAGTTACTAACACTACCGATGGGACTCATTAACCAACTTGAGCACATATTTAAGGGAATACCAATATTCACAATATACATTTTTATATTYATGTTGTCATTCTTCAAATCACAGCTCAGTTCATGTATTCCATTGAAACATTCGCTTGCAGAGGATTTCTTTCTTTCTCTAAACGCACATACTATCACTTAGGCATCATTCTGGTGAATGATATTAATGACAGCTTTTCAGGATGGAAAGCTATTTCTAGCTGTCAATTAGGGGATGTTTTGAAGGAAAGCAGCTCGTCCAAGCCCTGCGGGAGCCAGTGTGATTCTCTGTTTGACAGTGACCCCCTTGATGAGTTTGGGACTCGCAGCAGCAGCAGCTCTGTGGGCCAGGAGGCTTCACAGTTGCAATGCAGGGCCCTTGAGTGATAAAGGCAGGAGATTTGAAAGGTGCTGCCCAGGAAAGCCAGAAGAGAATTTCAGATCCTAAAAGCAATGCAAAGGGAGGAGCAGAGTCACACAGATACCGAGCCAGTCCCTTCCATTACGTCACACAGTTTCCCACCCAGCAACCCGGTGAATTTATCAGGTTACATCTTCAGCTGTGCCTGCTCACATGTCCAAGCCACCCCTACTGAAGGCTCCTTTAGATCTCTCTCTGCTGTCCTATAATTGGAAAACTTCTAACGCTTCGGTAAAATGTATTCACAGCTAGTTTATAGTCATTTAATCTATTGCCAAAACAGCCCTTTGCTTTAACTATTTTTYCCTCTTTTGTTGTGTTTATAGGCAGCTCAGATCTTGTTATCTTTGTCACCTTTGCTTTTCTAGACTAAACAAGCCAAGTTCCTTAGCCTTCTAGGCTAAACAAACCACCTCAGCTCTTCTCTCCTCACATCATCTCAGCAGACCTCCTCTGCACCTGCTCCAGGTTCAATTAAATTTTCTTGAGCACCAGTGCCCAGATTATTGTGTGGTTTCCCAGAGCTGGACTCCAARGCCTCATACAATATTTGTCACTTGACCCTATAAATAGCACTCATATAAACATGCTTAATTTCTATATTTCCCCCCTCAACAGGGTGGTCCACTCTTAGGGCTTTCTTGTTCCTTTTATTTTCCTAAGCACTCCTTGCACAGTAATAAAAATGTACAGACTCAGTGGGGATCTGTTTTAACTTCAAATGTGCTGATTCAGTTCAAAAACCATTAATTCGGCCGGAATCAGGGCCGTGGGGTGGAAATCCCTTTCCAGTTAAAACAGAGGTAAAGGGGGACAGCATTTGGCAGGCTCAGAAATAAATGGCATTAGGAAAATAAAGCAAGATATCAGAACATGGCTATTGATGGGAAATATTAACAGAGCCCCAGAAAGCCTGGGACATTTCAAATCAAGACTGGGCATTTTTGTAGAAGGTCTGCAGTTTTGGGCATAGCTCTCAGGGCTGAGGCAGGAGGACAATGAATATAGAAGATCACAAAGGTCTGTGATGGACTTCATGTTGGCTGAGCACACGAGGAGCTGTATGGAACTGGCCAGACTGGTCCTTTCTCCAGAAAATCCTCCATTGTCCAGAAGCACAAGGCAATGCAAGGAAATGCAAGRAAATGCAAAGCAAACACAAACCAAACTCTACAGCCTATGATCTTTGCAGATTACAGGAATTAAAGGACACTGAGATAGGATAGAAACTGGCAAAACAGATAAAAACTTAGGGTTTTATAGTAGCAACACACTGAAAAATCCTGTCTTTTGCCCAGGTGCTTTTCTGGGGCAACTCATCACTCRGTGTCTTCTGGTCCTTTGCCTAATTTTTAACTTCCCAAACTGTAGGTCATGTCCTTTCCTAGGTCTAATCTGGTAATCAGATGCCTTGCATAAATCTGAGCATTTAGCATGTAGATCCATCAGGTTGGGAGGGTTTAGGGGCATTTCATGGGACGTTTCATGCTGAGCATCAGGAGAAATGTCCCGCGGCAACAATGCATTAAACCTTGGGATCATCTGTGGTGGTGGGAATCATGAAACCAGGCCATGAAACTAGCACAGTAAARTGTCCCATCAATGCCAACCCAAACCCCGTTCAGGGAGTCGCACTGAAYGATCTAACACGCCTTTTCCAACGCTCGCCCCTAAAAACCAGGCCCAAGAAGTACAAAGAGAGACGGACAAACAGTGATGTCAATTTACTAAAGAAATAAAACCTTTTTGCATCATTAGTGAATGTCATAAAAAGCCTGTGCTCACACTGTATACTCAATCTTGGTATTCCAGTGCCATCCACAAAAAAATTCAGGCTTAACCCTCACAGTTTATATTGTCACCATAAATGCTGGTAAAAAAATATGGTACAGTTGGGTGCAGTTTATTCTTTATATTTTAATGGCTATAGCAAAACTCCATTGCTAACTAGTAAAAAAAAAAAAAACAGTTGAATGTATTTTACAGCTATGTCGTCATGGGAAAGCTGTATTTCAAAGGGAGGGCATCAACAACAATGAAACAGGACATTTTTAAACATTTTAAACATTTTTAATGGGACATTAAAAAGAAACACTTCACCAGAATCTCTTTGCCAGTATTTTAACTAATAGGGTTGCAGTGTATAAAGGAAGGGGTCTGACGCCTGCACAGGCCACCCAATACCGAGCCGCTGCTCAAGTGTCTTGAACTCTAAGTGTGAATGGAAAAAACATCTAAAATTAAGTGTTTCTCCTGGAGGAACAAATTGCTGATAGAGCAAATCTTCCCATAGGACAGGCACACCTGCTGGAAGGTAGAGAGACATTTTTATGTGTAGGATTTTAACTCAAGATAAAATGCTTTTCACGGGCAGTCATATGGAAGACAGCTGGCCAAAAATAATAATAAAGGCATTTCTGTCCCTCGGGAAATTCTGAGGTTGCAAAAAAATATGATTTTGACCCCATCTGGGACAAAATGTTTAGATCTCAAAACTTTTTTTTTCATTTAATGAGATATTCCAAAACAAAGACAGTATATTTCTTATTTCTTTTCACTTTCTCACTTCAACATTTCTTTTATTATTGTATAATTATAGAAGTCCAAACCATTCATTACCCTATGCCATTACATTGCATCTCGTTACAGCATCTATTTCATGGGGCATAATCTCCTCCCTTTTTAAAGATCTCTATTAAAACACCAAAGGCTTCTCATGAAACTGGGCATCAGAAGCATCCCAGTGCCTGCCACAAGCACCGGCAGCAGAGCACAGGTCCATCCTAGGCACAGAGAGACTGTGGCAGGGCGAAGGCAAATTGCTCACCACTACTTTTCAAATTATCTTTTAAAAGACAGGCAGAAGAGATGAGAGAAGCTGAGAGGAAGAGAAGTGCCCAGTATAGCCTGAGCAAGCACTGGGACCATAGAGAGACTAGGGAAGACATGGAAAGGGCTCCCAGGCTGCAGGCTGGCAGCACATAGAGCTTGGCACACATGCGTGGTCGCTGGTAGCTCGAATCTTGCCATGTTCAGGCAAGCAAAACCTTGCAGAGAAATAATATGCACCAAAGGAGCGCCTGGCTGCCCCTCTGCTCGTGAGACTCCGTGTTTTTGGCCAACCTCTCAGACCCAACAGGGTAGAAATGTATAACACAGGAGTCAAACAATAGTGTCAGGAGGAGATGAGGAAAAACATATGAAGATTTTGGATATTTTCCTCAGCCAAAGTTGGACAAATTTGATACTTCCTAGGAAATGTTTCCAGTTCTTCCAGTCAGCGTAATCTAGTAGAACTTGTTCRGCTGGAAAAATTCTGTCCTGCAGTCCCATGAAATCTCTTATGCTCATTATTTATTTGGAGTCAAAGGTGATGTTCAGTGTTACACAAAACTTCCTGGATCTAAATATCCTCTAAACTACCCCAGAGAAACCATATAATTACTGGCTAGCGTTAGCCATTGCTGCTCCAAGTATCTGGAGCCCAAGTCTTTGGAGTATATCCCAAATTTCCTGCCAAAGCAGCTCATTTCACCAAACTTAAGCTCCCTACTCTACATCCAGGCACTGAAGAGACCCTCACCTCCAAAACGCAGCCTAACTCATCAGGACATGGATGTGCAAAGTCACTGGTGTCACAGGCACCAGCCCATGTCACCCCGGTGGGTGGGTTGGGAGTCAGACTCGTGCTCTCCACTACCTTTTGTCAAAACCACTTTAATTTCCCCATCTTCAGTACGCCTCTTTATTCTATTTTCTGCCCTTTTGTCTTTCCCCTCCAATGTTTCATGTCCCTCTTTCCTTTTCAAGCCTCTCTTCCTCCCATCATTTCCCCAGGCTCTCTCCTTCCTCCCTTTCTTCTTTCCTTCCTTCTCAGCTCTCTGCACTTTATATTCTCTTTTCTCTTTCACCAGCACTTCCTCTCCTGTCACCAGGGGCACCTATTCTCCGATGGAGAGGAAGAAACGGTGGCTCCSTTTGTGCTGCCCATGGGCAAAACACATAGAAAATTGCCCCAAAACGCAGTGTGGTGGCTTAGAAGGTCACCTGGAGCCCAGACAAGCCACAGTGGCCAGGGCTGGACAGTGAGTGTCCCACTGCACAGCCCATAAAAGCCCTTGGTTCGGTAGCTGAATCACAATTAAAATGTCACAATTCCCCCATCCCAAACATTCTCCCTCTCTGCACATGCTGCCTGACGTCGAGGAGCCCTGCTGAGACCACAGAAAATCATCACATTCATGGCCTACGTTGGAAGGAAAAGRTAGCTCTTCCCAGCTGAAGAGGCCAGTGTAGTAATGTGCTACCTTATCTCTAGTGCCATCGACTCCTGTCTATTTAATTTTCCCTTTGATTTTAATATAGATTTATTGAAAACAACAGTTATCAAAACAAACTGCACTGGCAAATTGGTGTTCGTCTGTAGCTGTACAAGTACCTATAAAGCTGCCAGCGTAGGAAACAAATGGTGCTATATGGGAGGTCAGTTATTGCAATAGAAGTTCCCCAAGGATTTGCACTGGGCAGTTTAATATTTTTCTTATTACCCTCTTTTCTTTTCTACTATTTATGCCTCTCTGTTTAAATTTAAAGCATACAGCCATCTGCCAAGACAAGCCTCTGATAGAATCGGCCCTGGTAAACCTTTTCATGAGTGGTCTCTCCTCTGAGCTGGCAAACACTGATGGGTCCCTTCTAAGGGGCAGGCAAACGGAGGCTGACTTTTCCTCCCAAGTAGATTCACTGTCTAGTTCAGCTCTTTTTTGAAAAAGTTTGTTTTTTTCTGACTTTTTCCTCACATTTCTTGGGAGAAAACAATAAAAATATTTTTAAAATTATTTAAACACTACTTTTTGTCATATGCAAACTGTACCTGATATCCATGGGCTCTCCTTTTCCCACCATATTAAAATAAATCAAAAATAACAAGTCAAATCCAAGCATAGTTTAAACCCGTTCATCAAAAGAGATGAAAGGGTTTCTGTGCTGATCTTCCCATTAGGAGAACACAAATCAAACAACACGGCCATCAAATGAGGACACAAGGTGTTTAAGTGCCTATAGAAATAAGAACTCTAATTACGGAAACATCTATAAGGTAACTAATATTATTTACATTGCGGCAATGCTAATCCAGATGAGGGTTAATGTCCCTGCTCCTAAAACATTACTGTCTAAATAGAGAAGAGCCAGTGGCAGGATGGCAGGGATCACTGCTCTGCTTGCTCCTGTTTTAAGAGGAGGAACTGAGGCAGACTCCTCACTGGGGAGGAGGAGAGAAACAAGCCAAAAGGGGCAATAATGAAGATCAGTTTGGACGCAGCCAGAGCAAGTGACTTATTCAGACTCACACAAGCTGCCTGGGGTTGTGCTGGAAAATGAATAGAAATCCCAGATGTCTTAATTGGCTTAACTATCTTAAATTTAATTGGCTATTTCAGTGGACCACCTTCCCTAGCTCATCCAGGAGACACACACTTAATGCAAGAATGCGTGAGTGAAGTGCTAGGTTTGCTACACAAGCTATGCTCCTTGGTCAGAATTGAACCTTCTGGCCTCAAAGTCCAGCGTCCGGAGGAGCTCACCAGCTTCCCCAGTGCAAGAACACCCTCCTCCTTCCAAGTCTGTATGACTTTAGGGCAAAACATTAACACAAGAACTTTGTCCTGTAGCCAGTGTGAACTCCAGCTCTGGCAGCTTATTCCCAGCTTTGCAGAGCAATGACAGGAGGACACATTTTCCTCTTCTTCTCCCCTTCTTATTTTCTCCTCAGTCCAAAAGCTCAACACTTGCTGCCACAGATCCTTTACAGACCTCTTAATGTCCTTCCTGTCTGGGCAAACTACCTCTATTTATTTTATTTACCTGAATTGTTAAAGTAGGGGCAAAAAAAAAAAAAAAAAGCAAATAGGAAGATCAATTGTTAAAGTTATTAACAGATCTGATACAATTCTGATCTCTTTTTAAGGGACATGAGACTTTTTCTCAGCCCCTCCAGGGATTTGCTGTAAAAATAATACTACTATAACACACCCAGATTGAAATGAAAATCTTCTAAGTTTGGAGGGAAAGAATCCACACCATTTGGCATCAGGTCGAGCCGATTTTCCAGGTCTCCAGTAACAGTTGAGCAGAGAAGTGAACGCCAGCAGACAAGCAGCACGGCATTAGCAAGTCTGAATGACACGTGCAGCCAGATTGTCTGCTTTGCTGACAATTGATGCCATCCCCATTACTGGGAAAATATTATTAAGCAAGTTTCCATGGCTCTCTGCAGCTYATTACTTCAGATGGCCGGTGTTTCTTGTCATGGCTTAGGGCTTCTGTGGGCTAGCCTAAACTGGTTTGCTGTTCCCGTGCCCAAGTTTACTGGTGGAGGCAGCAATGATGTACAGCCTCCAACACCCAGGGTGCTTTCGGTTGCTGCAAAGTAGCAACTGTATTAGAGAAACAGTTCAGATAGAATATAGTTCTGCTAATTTGGGCCCGACACAGCTAGAAAGATGCACTAGGGCAACAGCACAACGGTAAGTCTCATTGTTGAGGAACAAGCAGATGACTGGGGGAAAGGAACCCAGCAAACAAGATCTGCTGAACATTTGCAAGGGAGTCCAGAGCACCAAGGAGCTCAGGACTGAGTGAGTCAAGCTGCACAACTCACTCTCTACATCACTGTTGGAAGGAGAGCAAGCGATGTGGAAGCCCCTGGGCAGCAAGAAGATGAAGGTGATAACCCCGTGGCGTCTCTGGGTCGAAGGGGAGGACTGCAGAACAGAGAGATCCAATGAGGAAGAAAACACTTTGCTACAGAAAAGATGGGGAAACAGAGTTACACAGCTCTCCCTTTGTTGCTGTTAGTGTTTTCTCTTGGCTTTTGCTCTCCGTTTCTTTTCCTCTCATTCATGAAGTGGCTCGTAAGGGAACACAAGCAGTTTGCCGCTGCTGGAAGCAGAGAGGTGATACAAGCTTGTGGTTTCACATCTTCCATTCCTCTTAAAAATCCTATCTGCACCCATTAGTACCTGGTGAGGAAGACAGCTGAACTAGATAAGCAAAGATTGTGGTAGAGGAAAGAACAAGCAGAACTGAAGGGGAGCATGATTATGAATCACAACAATTCCCTCTGATCCCATTTTATCATTGGGGGTGGGAATGTAAAAGAGGCAGAATTTGTGCTAACAAGGTCAAATTAAATCATGTTTCCAGGCTGGGGAAATTACTTTTGCCTGCAGGAAGAGGTGCACAACATGAATGACGGAGGGGAGGTTCAAGCCACCAGACAKGCTGCACTTACACCCAGCTAATGCAAAACAGAGGGAATTCATCATTAGCCCAGTGAAGCCCTCCTGCAGGATTTCAATGGAGGGTCATATAGGCTACGCAAGAGAAAGAGCAACTGAGGTCTGATTTCCAGGGTTTTGCTTTGTGGAGGAATAGGCTCATCTCTGTCTCAAGGGAAACGCTTTTGGTCTCAGGAGATGACACTACTCAATGGTGTCAGCTCTCCTCACACTCAGAGGACACAAAAGAGTGACTATGAATGTCTCCAAGACAACTGGAGCCCTGATGACATCGGGGAGGGAAGGGCACAGACACTGCTGGGGCTGAAGATTTCCTTCAGGAGCATCCTAACCTCTCAGGTCCAAACTAATGGTGTCCAAATAACTCATCTGCTTCTCAGCAGCAAGGCCTTCACAGAGAGAGGGCAATGCTGGGCATGGGTGGCTCAACACATTGCTGGAAGGATGGATAGACACCAATGAGTGCTAGAGACAACAAGAGATTACGAGGCTGAAAGAGGTGCTTCACATGCTTCTTATGCAGCAAGGACYACGTTTGCTGCTGACAATTATAGGTGAAAAATACATCTACTCCTATGTAACACACTACTACAGGATGTGGCAGCAGATTGTGACCATTGCCACTAGATATCAGGTGATATTCCCTTTCCACTGGGTTATACAGCAGAAAAAGTGGTCCAAAACACTGAGATAGACCTGAGAAAATCACTTGTCTCAACAACAAGAACTCACTTTCTCACTTTCTTTTATGCCTTCAGTTATTCTATCACATTAAAAAAAAAAAAAAAAAAAAAAAAACCACTGCTTAGAGTCCCTTCCTTCACTAAGCCCTGATCTTAGCTGTACAAGTGAACTGATACACTCAACACTTGCTCTGTGTTTGCCACTTGCAAAGACAAATAGTGAGTCACTTGAAAAGTTACACACGCATAAGAACCATCCATGGGATCGACATCCACACCTGTATGGAGCACAGGGTTGTCAGTGGGATTTCAGGCATGTTGATCTGGCAGCAGGACAGGAGCCTTGTCCTGAAATCCTATAGTCCCCATGATCTAGATAAGAAAAGGAAGTAAAATAAAATAAACAAGCAAAAYAAACAAAAAACACTATTGTCTACATTCCTTTATGCAATAAAAGTGGTAAAATAACTTCCATAGATTTAGGCTAACAGCTGATCTCTTCCTCTAGGGCAGGAGCAGACACACAAGGTATCACCAGCACAATATCAGAGGCATCCCAGCCTCTTTTAGAAAAGAGGCTCCATGAGAAAAGAAGGAAGAAAAAAAGCAGCATATTTAATAAATTACTGACATTCATCCAGCAATCTACATAATTTAGGAAAGGAAATCACTGACTGAGGCACCACCCATCTTTTCAAGTTTCTTTCACTAAAGCAATAAAGCACAAGTTACGTGACAAAAAGATTCCCACCTCCTTTTTGCAGGGGATTATCTCCAAAGAAGCCTTGTTTTGCTCAGCTTGTGGCTTACCAAAGCATCACACCTATGCAGAAGTCCCCCATAAAGACCCATCTCTGCAGAAAAACAATAACTCTGGCTGATCTAAATATATGAGGGAGAAATTAYGATGGGTTCCTATGCAGCCTCGCTAGCTACAGGTGACGTGTTGCAGGTGTGTGAGAACCGGCTGTCTGTCTGCAGGAACTCCTCGTCTCGGGGCTAACGAGGGAAAAGAGGCAAAGATGGTGTGTGCAGGTGATGGCTCTCAGCTCTCACGCGTTTCATTTGCAGTGAGGACAGTGAATTCTTGGATGCTGCTTATTCCTCTTGCCTAGAGTTGTAGACAGAAACACGGGAGTTTGGAGCTGGGTGATGACTAGAGCCATCTAATCAAATGTCTAGTCCCTGCTGGTAGTGACACCACTAGAAGGCACAGAGGGAGCCCAAGAAGCCTTGAAGGGGAAAAATATGCAGACTGGATAAGCAGTTTCCTTGGCTRGTCTCCTCCTCAGACCCAATAGTTATTGGTCTACTCTGCAGTGTAAGGGTTTATACCTCTTCCACGGTTTTATTGGTTTTATTTGCTCTTAAAATTCAAGCTGTTCTTATTTTCTGCAGAAATGCCGGATCATTTTGTGAATTCCAGTAAGCTCTGTGCCTTRCTGATCCCTTTGGGGAGTGAGGGCCACAACACGGCTGCCCATGTGAAGAGATGTTCCTCCAATGATCAAGGCAGGAACCTGAAACTCGGGGGTTGCTGGATGTGGATCACTGGGACTGGATGACAGAAAAATCTAGCTGGGGATAAAGCTGGGCAAAGATAAAGAAATTCTGAACGCATCAGTTCATCAACAGGCTTGTGCCTGACAGAAAGCCAGCTTGTTACACATACTTGCTTGCTTCAAATATTTACTACTGGAGTAATATGAGCTGTACTGCAGGACAACAGAAGGGCACAAAAAGGGTATTAGAAGTATAGATAAGAAGCGACTTGTGAAAAAAGGACTGTTTGAAAGAGCAGAGATTGTTGGAGGAAGATAAAATGAGAGGAAGAGTGTGTGTAATTTCCCAGAAGGGAAATCCTGAGAACCAAGCGTGCAGTGYTGGAAAGCAGCTACAGGAGTCCCTCTCAGTATGAACCCCCAGATCTCCCGAAGTCCTAAGTAGAGAGCATGAAAATGATCTCCGAAGCCAGCCTTGACAGTCAATCTCAGCAAGAGCTGGAGCCCTGAAGCATGTCCCTCTCTCCGAAAGGGAAGGAAGCATCCGAGGAAGGGCAGAGACTCAGGTGGCTCCATGGCAGCCTCCACCCCGAAGGCCCTGGAGGCTGGAAAGCAGAGGAATGATGAGCAGAAATGTCTCTCCACCACTGCTGTGCTGATGAGGGGGCTGGCTCACTGGGAAGAAGGGTTTGTGCAGAGACTCCTGCAAAGGCAAGGAGAGACTGGGAGGGCGAAACACGTGTTTCATTTTGCTCTCCTTTGAACAGAGCTTGGTTTGTTATTTCAGCTTGGATTTTTTCCCCCTTCAAATTGAACCTCAATTCCTATTAAATAGACAGATCGATCTAGGGAAAGCATTTATTTATTTGGTTATTATTATTTTTCCTAGGGAGGAAGCCCATCTGGTCRGCATGACAATGGAACTGGGGGCCCCCATAAATCCTGGATCATTAGCACCAAAGCCCTGGGCTGTTCCATGGGCCTGGCCCTCGGCACCGCCAAGGTGTGYGGGTTTATGGCCCAGTCCCCTCGGTGCCGCAGCACGGGAATCAGCCCGGCACACAGCGGCGAACACCGCAGCCCATGCAGAGGTCCAGCTTCGTGCAGCAGTCGGAATAATGCTTTTCCCTGGAAGAAGGCAGGCAGAAAGCCTAGGCACAGCTGAAGTCAGCTCTGGCATGTGAGCCTGGCGCGTGCACTTGTTGGGCAGGACCCCGAACACCATGGTGTGCAGCACTCCGGATGCCGAAACAGCATCCCTCTGTATTACATGGCACCCCCAAAAATGCATGAAATGAATAAAAATGCATCTTGTAAGAGCCGGATCCATATGACCGGTTGCTACATTGCTACTGCAGAGAACATACAAGGTCCTAAAAGAGACCCTCGAGCCCTCTGCCCTGTGCAAAGTGCTGTACATCCTTCTTTTTTTCTGCAAAACAGTGTCTCCACATAGGTGTTGGTACCAAATATTGCTAAGCATCACCTTGCGCTCGCCTGCCGCGCGCCCTGACTGATGAGAGCAGCCTTAACTCACACAAGTTGCCCATTGATTTTATCTCATGTTCTGCCCTAACTAATCATGCCAGGAAAACTCACGAGCTCCGGCCTGCTCCGGTGTCATCGCTGGGCTGAGAGGATGATGGAGGATATTGCCTGGCTGAACTACATTTTTATTTCCCCCCTTTTGCCCAGTGGATTTTGAAGCCGGCACTGCCTGATTTTGGTTAATCTTGAGAGAACCCCCCATCCAGGGGGGAATTGAGGACATTTCCCCCCAGTTCCCCAAGCAGAACCAAACCCTCCTGTCCCATCACAGGGGTTTTCATCTGCTTTGGCAGGTTATTTACCCCAGGGCAGCGGTCAAGGGTGGCCCCAGCCTCCCACCGCTCCCGGGGTTCAGTTCAGCAGCTTCGCCTTCGTTTTCCTTGACCCCGTTAGCGGCAGAGCCGGCGGCCATGAATGCTTTGCCTTTGCCGGTGGCCGTGACGGATGGCGCGCGGCACCGGGAGGCACAGGTGTCGCTCCTGCCGCGGGAAAATGCTTTTCCACACCATTAGCCCCGGGGAGCTCGCGGCAACAGGAGAAGGGCCYGAGGAAAAGCACCGCACACCGGGCGGAGGTCGTGCGGAAAACAAGTGGCCGCGGCTGCAAGAGGCGGCTTCAAAAATAATTCATAGCTACGGACGCCTCTGGCTCCGCAGGATTAATCACGCAGCTCCCATGGCTGGAGCTGAAGAAGAAACTCTCCCTAGTAGCCAAATATTCTCTGAAGCGCCTCGTTTAGGACTCTGTGCCTCTTATCCTGAGCATTTGGCTCTTGATTTTGCCTTGGAAATTACAATGTTGTTGGTGTCCAGTGTTGCTGTATGATATTATGGTTCTGTCTGTGATTTTTGCTGTTTGTTGTTGTTGTTGTTGTTGTTGTTGTTGTTGTTGTTGTTGTTGTTGTTGTGGTTTGGTTTGGTTTGGTTTGGTTTGCAATGGTTCTGAAGGTCTGCCATTCAGTCTGCAGGTCTTTCTTTGGAAAAGAGCTCATCCAAATGGAAGGTCGTATGGCAAATAGCACTGCAGGGTGATGGTTCGTGCAGGACAAATGGCACTTATCTGCAAAACCCTGGACACAGTCCCCACTGTCACCATAGAGGTGCAGTGATGGGCAGGGTTTAATGGCAAAACAGCCTCTTGTAGAAGCTCCTGAGAAGCAGAACTTGCAGAAGCTCCTGAGAAGCAATTTCCCCTCTCTCCCAGGTCACTCAGCAGACCTTGGCAGAGATGGTGATGGTGAAGAAAAAGGGATATATTTATGTCAGCCACAGAGTATTTTTCTAGATGGTAAGAAAGAAATATTCTCACTACCAGTCCTACAAGTSAACAAGTCATTGAAAGGGCTGTTTTCTCATTCTGAGAAATAGTCCCTGAGAGTGTGCCAGCTCCAAATTTCCAACTTCTGGCATGGAGTGTGATTTCAAGCCTTTCTCTGCCAGATTCTTCTTCTGCAAGAGAGAGGGCACTGGCAGCGGGTCGTTACAGATTGCTCGGAAAACAAAGAGATCCCCTCTTAGCTCTCCCACACCATGGGACCAGCCACGCACCAAGCACTGGAGCCAAGCCCAGCTCAGCTGCTCAGATGAGAACCATATTCCAAAAGTCAAGAGGTAAATCTTCATCTTAGGCGACCTTGCTAACAGGCTCCGAGCGAGGCACGATGAMCTGAAGAGGCTTCAAGCTCTCGTCCTGCTGGAGAGCAGCCACGAGCCGCTCGGAGCTTAAAGCAGCTCCGATAAAACTGGTTGCGGGGAATCAACTGCAGCAGCAGCTGCCGCCTCTGGGTGAACTTYCCAGCATCTTCTCAGAGGGGACAAGCGGTTGGGGTGGCAGCTGTTAGGGCAGGGCCCGGGGCACGCGCTGAGACACGCTGGCTGTAGCCAGCAGAGGGCATGGAGATTACACACGCTGGCCGCGCTCACACGCGCTCGCTRCATGGCTTGAGGGAGCATTGCAGTAAAAGGTTTACTTTAACCAAGTAAATCCACTACCACTTCCCCCTCCTCCTGTGGATTCAGGGACACAAGGGACAACCTGAATCCAGCGCAGGCAAAGGCACTGGTGATGTTAGTGCCATCATCACCACATCTCCTCCAAGATTTACCACCTTCCTGCGGTGCCACAATTTGTAGGAGACACAGCTTGGCAGTAGAGCAGCCTCCAGCAGACGCAAAACATCCTCATGGGATCCAAAAGCATTGCAGATAAGCACTGTTATACATTTATGCCCCATATTTTTCATAGTCCTGACATAATTGATCATATATATCAATCTTATYGTACAAAAGAGTAGCTACAGGATAATAAAGAACGAGAAGCTGCTTGTTTGAAGAACYGTGTGTTGCTGTTGGAAGACTCCGACAGTTGGAGCCACTGTTCTTGGTGTGACTCACAAATATGCTCGACTTTATGGATTACTGGTAGTCCCATTGAAATCTGTGTGCATTGAATTAGGCAAATCTAATCAACTCTATAGGTTCAGGTTTGTATATATCAGACTTTTGCAGTACTTAGAGCAGCATTTGCAAYGAGAATTACAGCATTGCGATAGTACAGAAGAATCTCTTTCTAAATATACATTAGGTGCAAATATGCAAGAAATCGGGGAGCCCACTATTAATTTTACAGATGGACAAACAGAAAGTTAAATCAGTTGTTCAAAGTTACTTCAGGACACAAATTATCTGCTTACAACATATTTCAGTGGAAATTTTTCCAATGGACCTCTGTGCACGTTGCAGTTCCATAATGGTGCATCAGTCCATGTTTATGGACCATTTTCAGGATCAAAACCCCCATTAGTAGTGCAGATTAATGGTTATTATATAAATAACTTGAGTATTTCTTCTCATTTTCCTCTGAAGACATTTCTCACATAAGCCAGCTAAATGCCAGATTTGTTCCTTAAATCCAAACTGTATTAAGTTCTTGTGTAACAGTGCAGTAACATAAAGTTAAATAAAGCTGCATAATTTTTTTTAAAGCCTCAAAACATGGAACTTGATTCTCAGCTAGCATAAACTGGACGCCAGCTGAGGATTCAGACCTTTTTTTTTTCCATACCAAGGAACTCAAAATGCTTTTTAAATAAAAAAAAAATTGCTTTTGGGCTAAGAACAAAAGTAAGAAATTTAAATCCAAGGGATCACTTTCACAGTGGTGTAAGCACAGAAAAAAAGGCCTTGCAATAAATGTACTTTCTTAACCAGAATTCTGTAATTGCTACTGTGAAGCTGTAATGTAAGCTTGGCTACAACTGTTCACAAACTGAATATTTCCCAAAATACATAAGAGATATTGGGTATTTTTAACTTGACTTCCTGAGGGGTGTCAAAACTCTGTTGTTTAAGCTAATAGATGCTACCATACAGAATATTTACCCGTGTCCTATGTCCTGTTCGGTCTTCTCAGGGTGGAGCATTGAGCAGTAGGTGGTTCCTGTTAAATCAGCATCTCCACACAGATCTGCAGAGCTATTGAGCTTGCATGTGTCTACGTATGGCTTCTTTGTGACAGCTTTCTTTCCAAAAGGGTGTGGAAAACGACCAAATCAATAATCACAAATTTTGTTAAAAAAAAATAGTATTTACAGCATTTTGGTTGGAGAAATGGGATTGCAATCATGGGTAAGTGGAAGCAGAAGCCAGACCTAGGGCAGCCCCAGGCACGAGGACAAAACGCGATGCTACCTGCTTTGTGTCTTGGGCAGGAGCCGTGTTTACCGTAACGTYGTGGCTAAGCCGTGGAACAAAACTGCGCTGCTGCAATGGAAACGTGCTCGTCTTGCCGCGTGTCCCCAGCCTCCGCGGCGCCCAGACGTAGTTAGGAGCAGGGAGCAGAGCCACTCATTGTAACATGTAAAGAAGAGACTGTGGAGCACCTTAGCACTGGTGCTTTCCTCAGCTTGGAAGCTTGGAGAGTCCAGTCATTTTATTTTGAAATTTAAGTGTGAAAATAAGAACGCCTTTRTTTGGCTGCACTTATTACCGTTCCCAAAGATTTCAGCCTTTGTGAGGCATTCAGGCGCCCGCGCTGCCCAAGACCTGGCTCTGAAGCGATGCCAGGAGGATGGGTCAGCTTCAGCCTGCGGAAGCAGCAAACCTTTACACAGAACGTACCAAATTAAGGCCCGAGGCTCTGTTTCRCGCTGCAGCTGTGGACAGCTTTAAAGGGGGCCGAGCATTCAGCACTCCAGTGGAGCGATAGCAAAATGACCCTATATGCTTCAGTGAGGAGTCACCCCTTACCCAGAAGTTGTTAGGGTGCCATAAACACATAATCCTCTCTTACACAACACACACACGCTGGGCAGCCCAAGTGATGGATGATGCTGATGGAGAGGAACTCCTTTTTCCTAGCATGGTTGTATTCRGAGAGTGTCAGCGCAATAGGAAGAGCCAAAAGGAAAAAAAAAAATGGTGGCCATGGTCTATTCAGAACCTGGAATCATCTCGGAGTTGAAGAAAGATCAGGCCCCTCTGTGGTGGAATAAAGGCGCCTTTCAGGTCAATCCCTAGTGTACTTCATGGGAGAAAAGGAGACGAGCGGTTTCAGCTCGGTCCACTCCACGGTCTCGCTCCAGACAATGCTGGGGAGGGCACCGCGGCGGAGCGYGCGGGAGCGCGTCCAGCGAACACCCAAACAGCAGCGCGCGTGCCGGGCATGCCCGGGCGCCGCGGGGAGCGTGGGGACCCCCCTCGGCTCCCCGGCCGCCTCCGAGGG